TCCAGTGCGCCACCGGGCCGGCCCAACGCCACCAGGCCGGCCCACAACTATACTTTTATGAAGTTGTTACAACAAGCAAACGGAAAGGACATTCTTGGGGGGAGGAGAGAGAGGGAGGAGGAAGGGAGGTGTCGGTGATGGGCCATAATAATCATATACGTTGTATATTGACAAAATAAAAATTTAACGAAAAAAAAAAAAGATGAGGAGAAACAAATATTCTCATGCATTGATGGTAGTAGATAAATTGATACAATAATTTTAGGTTTGTGTTGTCCACACAGTAGCCACTAGCCACATGTGGCTAGTGAGTACTTGAAATATAACTAGTGCAACTGATGACCTGCATTTTTTAATTTACTTAATTTTAATTAACTTTAATTTTAAAAACTGATTCTTCAGTCAGTTTTTGAAAAACTTTTAAGTATGTTTGGAACAATTTTGTAAGTTTACTTTTTCAACTGAAAATTTTATCAATCCTAAATACATGTCAAGCATTTCTCATGAAATCCAATGTCTGGTATTGTTTTGTTTTGTTTTGTTTTCGTGGCTGGCCAGTACAGGGATTCAAACTCTTGACCTTGGTGTTATAAAACCACATTAAATCCAATGTCTGAATTGAGGTGTATCATGTGTGCAAAATACATACCAGGTTTTGAAGACTTATTCTGGAGAAAGAAAAGACACTATCTCATTAATAATTTTTATATTGATTACATATTGATATGGTGATATTTTTGGATGTATTGGGATAAGGAAAAACATTAATAAAATTAATTTCACCTGTTTGTTTTCCCTTTTCCTAGTGTGATTAGCAGGAAATTTTACTTTACATATATGGCTCACATTATATTCCTATTGGAAGGTGCTATTTTGGAAGGTGTCTTACAAGTATATATATATGCCGTTTGTCTCAACAATTTCACTTCTTACATCCTCCCTAGAGAAGCACAGGTACACAAGCAGGACGTATGAGGATGCTCACTGTGATACTGCTTATAATACAGAAGTACTGGAAACAACCTCAATGTTCACCAACAAAGGAATGATTTTTTTTCAGTGGTTCATCCACAGCTGGGAATACTCTGCAGCAGTTATGAAGAATTGGTTAGACCTATATGTATCAAAATGAAAATATTTCCAAGATATGTTAAATGAATCTCTGCCACCCTCTTCCCACGGTGGGACTCAGGATGTGTGGTAGAGAATAGGTAGGAAAGGATGCATAGAAGAGGAAATAGCAATCTTTTGTTATCAGCTACCACACTTAGTTCACGGCAGTGCCTCTCTCCTGTGCAGCAGTTATACACAGATGTACTCATTCTGTCTCCCCAATCTACCCCAATCTGAGTGTTCGCCTGGAAGAGGTTGAGTGCAGTGCCTAGGGTTGTGCAGCTAGAACAGACCTCGGCTCCAAGTCCGGGGCTCTCTGCGCAATACGGAAGCGGCATAGCCTCGCGGTTAAGGGCACAGTCTGAAGTCAGACGGAGGAGAGGGTTCCAGGCCTGGTCCTACCACTTGTGTATGACGTCAGCCACTTTTCCTATCGTCTCACCTCTGAATGAGACATGCAAAAAGAGCAATTGCCTCACAGGATTACTCCAAGTGTTAAAAGGAGCTAATGCTTGTGAAACGCTTCGCACAGTCTGGCAGGTAGTAATCGCTCAATAGAAGTCCATGATAATTTTTCATAACGCATGTGGCCATCTCTCTATGTAGATTACACGCAACTCACCGCCTCACCGGTACCAAGGGTTACCCGTTTGACTCCTAGGGGAAGGCAGCTCGTTAAGTACGTTCCTCATAGTCCAGGGTGCTCACCAGTACTACATGGATCAAGCGTGGGGCGAGGAGGAGCCGAATGCCCCGCAGACTGGAATCAGCCCGGGCAGGGACGAGGACGAGCTCCTTCCACCAGCGCAGAAGGCCGAGCGGCAGGAGGAGCTCAGGGGCCGATGACGCCCGCCTGTGGCTGCGGGTCGGCGACGGCGAGGAGCCCGAGACCGAGCTGCACATCCTGCTCCAGACCCCACGGGTCATGCTCAGCCTGCAGCAGCAGGTGCGTCAGCGCCACCTGAGCCCCGGTGCGGCGGGAACAGGGGCAGGTGCCAGGCGTGGCCGGAGACCCTCAGATGGTGCTTTCCGCCGCCCACCCGGCCTGAGCGAGGCACGTGGAAGGTGCGCCGCCAGGGGACGGGGTCTCACCCGGAGCTGCCCGCGGGGCGCCGGGGGGTCCGCACCTCACACCCACCCGTCGTCGGCACCGAGCCAACGCCCGGCCTAACAAGGCTCCGAGGGACGAGGACGAAGGGGACGCCGGGTCCAGGAGCCCCGCGTGCACCCTGGCTGCAGGCGCGGGCCTCGCTCCTCCCGCCACCGAGTCTCTGCCACCTTGACGTCCGGTGACGACCTTCCCCATGGATCCTGAAACTGCGTCTTGGCTTCATGGCCCGGGCTGAAAGGAGCATTTTTTTTTTTTTTTTAAACAAAACCGAGAAACAAGCAACAAAATATACACTTTGTCAGAAGGAGGGAAAGAAAAAAAAGCCTTAACTACAAAATGTGGAAGAACTGAAGCTTATCACTCCCTAGAGGGAAATGCTGGGCTAATCTGGATGCTTCCAGCAAATTGTGCCTGAGATTTTGGGGTGGGTGGGAGGTTAATGTAGAAGAAAGTTAGCAAGCAGGATGCCATTATTTTTTCTTTTTTCTTTTTTTTTTTTTTTCTGCATATGTTTGGTAAACAGCAAAAAAAAAACTTTTGACATTTTAAAACATTTATTTAGAATAAAATAGGACATCCTTTATAGCCACTGTGAAGGATTTAAATTGATGAACTGATGATGGTTCAGTCTTGTAGGAAGAGCTTTGAGGGAATATGAGGTAGGAAACAATTTCCAGTAGCTTTCATTGTTTTGTTTTTGTTTTTAACTATAATGATTTTTTATTTTTTTAAATTTTATTTTACTTCTCAATATACATTGTAGTTGGTTTTCATGCCCCTTTACCCATTCCTCTCCACCCCCTCCCCTCCCCACCACATCATATCTGTTCACTTGACTTAAAAAGTTCAAGGAATTTTTGAGATTGTTGTGTCTTCTTCCCCCAACCCTTTACTTGTTTGTGTGTTTATTTATTTATTTATTTATTTTTAGCTCTCACAAATAAGTGAGAACGTGGTTTTTCTCTTTCTCTGCCTGACTTGTTTCACTTAATATAATTTTCTCTAAGTCCATCCATGTTGTTGTGAATGGCAGTGTTTCATTCCTTTTTATAGCAGAGTAGTATTCCATTGTGTAGATATACCACCGTTTCCTTATCCACTTGTCTGATGATGGACATTTGGGCTGGTTTCAACTCCTGGCTATTGTTAATAGAAGTGCAATAAACATTGGAGTACAGGTATCCCTTTGGCATGATGATTCCATTCCTCTGGGTATATTCCCAGCAGTGGAATAGCTGGGTCATATGGTAGATCTATCTGTACTTGTTTGAGGAACCTCCATACCATTTTCCATAAAGGCTGTACCATTTTGCAGCCCCACCAACAGTGTATGAAAGTTCCTTTTTCTCCGCAACCTCTCCAGCACTTATCATTCTCAGTCTTTTGGACATTAGCCATCCTAACTGGAGTGAGATGGTATCTCAAAGTGGTCTTGATTTGCATTTTCCAGATGCTAAGTGAAGTCGAGCATTTTTTCATGTGTCTGTTGGCCATTCAAGCTCCTTTGCCCATTTTTTAATTGGGTTGTTTTTTTGCTGTAAAGCTATTTGAGTTCCTTATATATGCTGGATATTAATCCTCTGTCAGATGTATATTTTGCAAATATTTTCTCCCACTCTGTTGGTTGTCTATTTACTCTGTTGATTGTTTCTTTTGCTGTGCAGAAGCTTTTTAGTTTGGCATACTCCCATTTGTTTATTTTTCCTTTAGTTGCCTGTGCTTTTGGGGTCATATTCATGAAGTCTGTACCCACTCCTACTTCCTGGAGTGTTTCCCCTATGTTTTCTTTAAGAAGTTTTATTGTTTCAGGATGTATACTTAATTCTTTAATCCATTTTGAGTTAATTTTGGTATAAGGTGAGAGGTATGGGTCTAGTTTCATTCTCCTACATATGAGTATCCAGTTTTCCCAGCACCATTTGTTGAAAAGGCAGTCTCTTCCCCAGTATGTAGACTTGCTGCCTTTGTCAGAGATCAGATGGCTGTAGGCATAAACATGTATAAAAATCTCATGTCTCTTGCTATTTCTGCTGCTGTTTCTAGAACTGAGCGTTGCATTTCAAGTTCAATCAGATTATTAAAAGTGTTTTGCAAAGATCCAAATAAATGAATGAATGAATAAATAAATAAGTTTCTCAACTAGGGAAGATACTGTTCACACAGGGGGCATTTGGAAACAGGAAGAAGGCACATTTTGGGTTGTCCCAGTGACTGGTGGGGAGGGACACTACTGGAATATGTGCCAAATATCCTGCAATTAGCCATCCCATCAGAATGCTAATATCAAGCTGAATACCATTCTCCCACCTCCCTGTGAGGTAAAAGGTCTCCATTTCCCATCAGTAGCCCCTGAAGATGGGGAAGTGCTTTGAATGACTGGCTCAAGATCTTGCAGTGATTTGTTGGTGGATCTAAAATGTTAAACAGTTGAGAAACATTGGGATTGCTGAAGGAAAAAATAATGACAGCAATGTTCCACCTGTTTTTGTCTTTACAGAAACTAAAGAATTAGATTATTTGATTATTCACAATTTTATTTCCAAACATGCTCATTTCTCCCTTCGATTAAATACAAGGGGTTTCCTGCTAAGAGTTTGAGGGGAATTAAGAGGCAGTGTCCAGAGAATACCCTGCAGACAGGAGGTTCCTTCCTCTCTAGGAACTCAGAATGGCCTTGATGGCAGGAGTTCTACAACTGCATATTTGATTTTGCTTGACTTAGAGATGTGCCAAAGAGTTGCCCTAACTCTTCTGTTCCTTGTTTCACAGCATAAAAATCAATGCCTTTTCATTTCCAAATACTTCACTAGCCTTTGTGCCTGGAGTGGGAATCAAAGTGCTGACCAACCACGGTACTGCCAACATCAGCACAGACTGGGAAATCAAGTCTCCGCTCTTGTGAGTATTCCACTGAAATGTCTGCCAGTGTTCTGTGGGGAAACAGAGCAAAAACTTAAAAATGTATAAATTCACCAATGTTTGTGATGTTAGTCTTCTTTCTCTCAGTATTAACAATCTTTCTCAAGAACATATTTTTCCAGGAGAGATTTAAATCAGGAAATCCCTACTTGCCGGGGTATGGTGGGGTGGTGCTTTAGAGGCAGAGCAACTGATAAAATGTCATTTAAGATTTCCTACAAGTAGAAGTCCCTGACCGTCGGGGGAACAGATGTGCTTGACATTTTAGATCCACCAACAAATCACTGCATGATCTTGAGCCAGTTATTCAATACACTTCACCATCTTCAGGGGCTACTGATGAGAAACAGGTTGGAAAATGTATTCATCTTCAGCCCCAAACTCCCCCAACCAAAAGGCCTTTGCACCCTCACGCAGAAGGAAGGGGTCAAATTCAAGGTATACTTGCAGACCACCTACTATGTGCAAGTCTCTTCCTGGGTGCAATGTTTAGGTCTGCCTTGGTTGGTGCCCCAGAACAACACATTCATTCATCTTCTAGGTCATTCAACAATCATTTATTGTGTGCCTCCCATGCGCCATTTATCCCAATCTCAAGAACTCCAGTTTTATACATTGTGGAGAAATGGCATTTTCCCATAAATAGCATGGATTCATGTATACATTCATTTATTCAGTGATTCATCAACTACGTGTTGAGTGCTTATTCTGTGTCAGGTAACATGCCAGGTTCTGGAGAAATGGAGATAAATAACACACAGTCCACTCCCTCAAGGAGTTCACAGACTACATCTAAGTGTCATTTCACAATCTATGCACCTCCTGAATAAGATATTGCCAACTTTACCGCTGATGTTCTCTCTCCAAACAAACGTTGTATGTAAATGATGCTCAATATGTGCTCAAACACGACCAGGGCCAGAACAGTCAGAATGAAACAACTACAATATCCCAAAATCTGTTATCATTCACATATTCACTATTTCTTTTGTTCAGTACCTACTCTGCTCCTACCTGTTGTAGGTGCCAAGAATCCAGAGGTGAACATGACAAAGTCCCTGCCCTGCAGGAACTTAGAGTCTCTTAGTAATCAGAGAAACAAGACCCATCTCCATGCTTTGGTAACCTTGCACTTTCTCTCTAAACAGTCAAGACACAGGAGGAGCTGATCTGTTTCTCTCTGGGGCCTACTTTACCGGTATCATTATCCTGACCCGAAATGACTTTGGTCACCCAACCCTGAAGCTCCAAGACTGCTATGCCCAAGTGAGCCATGCCCACGTCTCATTTTCTGGAGAACTCAGGTGAGTGAGAGCACCATGGTGGGAAGTGGCTTGTCTGGGGCTGGATACTCAGGCAGCACCCAGGGGAAGTTTCTAACCAGCAGATTACGGACACTGAGAAAGATCTTTTTATTTTTTTCCTCTTTCTCTATCTCTCTCTCTCTCTTTTTTTTTTTTCCTCTTTTTTCCTAGTGTCCTGTATAATTCTTTTGCTGAACCCATGGAGAAACCCATTTTAAGGAACTTAAATGAAATGGTAAGTCTTTAAAGATAAGACAACCACAGTAAAATACCATCAGCAGCAGTTCCACCATCTTTTAATTAATTCTTAATTGATCAACCTTTACTGAGTACCTACTGTGTGCTAGGCACCATCCCAGGCACCTTCATACACATTAAGTATCCTTTGCAACTTAATAACAGTTTCTCAAGTACCTACTATGTGACAGACATTGTGGTAGGTACTGGAGATGCAGAGATGAATAAAATAACATCGCCTGTCTCAAGTCTCTCACCATAGGGTGGGCAAACAGTCAACAAGAATTTACATATTGTGTTCCTATTGCATGCCCAGTGCTGGACTAGGGGTCTGTTGGTGATATGAAAGAGGAACAGACTTGCCTATTCAGAAAAGCCAAGCTTATGAAACAATAACTGAATGAGTACTTGAATTTAGTGCATAGTTGTGTGATCATTAGATTAAACTGAAAGGGTTCAGAGAAATGGAAAAATAACAGAAGTGGAATCTGGAAGTGTCCTGGGAGTTATTTTTTAAAGGATGTAAGACTTGAACCAGGCCTTGAAATATAGGTAAGATTCAGATAGGTTAGGAATAGGGGAGAAGAAAAGATATTTTTAGGAAATAGAGTAAGAATCAGTTAAAAGAATAAAATAAGCTAAGATGCCTTCCAAACTATAAGTACCCCAATTCCAGATTAGTGTTGGAGAAAGGGAAAAATGGGATTGAATGTGCACTCTCTTCCCAATTCTGACCATACCTTCCCTGAACCCTTTTTCCATATTTTGGGGGCATTCAAGAACATGAATGAGGTGGACTGGAAAAGAAGGGAGACTCTTCTAGAAAAGGAGGACGAGGATGGTGTTTAGCTATCTCCATCTCTCTAGTGCTCAGCTCAGTGCTTGGCAGACAGTACGTGCTTAATGAACATCAGCGAGAAAGTCAACACTTAAAAACATCAAGCAGCTTGTCCAAGGAGGTTGCAGAACTGGTCAGGGAACTCTGAAGCTTCATGGTCTTTCTCCATCCTTACCAAACAGGTGCTGAGTGCCAGTGAATGTGCACATTAAAGAGTGACTGGGAAATTGTCACTTTCACGGACCCCACACTTGATCATTCCTCTGTTTGAAATGAGGCATGGTCCTTTGGCCTCTGATGGGAGGCCAATGAAGAATGAATTATGTCACAGAAGCCAATAATTAAGCTTGCCTGGAGTTTATATATGGCTTGGAGATAGTAGATGCTTTACTTCTATAATTCTTTCTGTGCCACTGGAAGACAGAAAAGATTGCTCGGACCACAGCTCTCTACCTGTGTCAAACCAGATTTCAATCCCAGCAATTGAACTCTTGGCAATTCAGGAGTTCTGTAACTCCTGGCAATTCAGTTAACCTCTCTAAGCTTTGGTTTTCCCATCTGTAAATAGGAGACAGTAGACCTACTGGTCAGTGCTATAGTGAGGATGAAATGGGGTTAAAACAACAACATCTAACATGTCCTGAATGCTTATTATGAGCCGGGTAGTTTTAAGTGGATTACCTCAATTTCCACTCACAATAATTTGATGAGGTAGATACAATATCATCCCCATGTTGCAGATGAGGAAACTGAGGGCAGAGAGTACAAGTAACTTGCCGAGGGTTGAACCCCAGGCAGCCAGGTGTTAAGCTTCTGCTATAACCACTATGCTGAGCACATCAGTGAACACACAGCAGGCACAGCAATGTTGGTACTTGTCCCCCTTCCTAAAGATATTAGTCCTACTCAAGACTAATTTTCTAATTCCAAAAAGGGGAAAACAATAGATCTCAAAATAGATCTCTGACCTAGTGGGCTCTCAAACTAGCCCAAGGGGAAAGTAAAGGCTCCTGCTTTAACCACACTAGGCAGGGCATGAAGCTACATTCAGGAAATACACGGTTGCCGAGCAGCAGGTTCCTCAGGTGTGACAGCAGTAGCCGGGACTGTGGCACATGCCCTATCATGTCACAGAGAGAAAAGCCAAGGGCTTGCTTTTTATAGGGCTCACTGGGTGTAGTTCCAGTACAGCATTCAATGACATGATGCCCATACATACGTAACTTGAGTCCCATAGGCATCAACTAATTTCAGGGAAAGTCTTGATGACCAAAGGGATGATGTCTCCTAACCAGAAGGCCTTTGTTTCAATATGATAACCTGAATTTTCTTTTTTTTTATTCTTTTTGTGGCCAGCTCTGTCCCATTATCACCGGTGAGGTTGAAGCACTAAATGTCAATCTCAGCACTCTGGAGGGTGAGTCTTAGAACTCTCTTCTGGATGGTTGGTTCTCTTCCCACCTTCAAACTCTGGTGCTCTCCAGCTTTGCTCTCCAAGGCGGTACAGCTCCAGCTCGTCACTCTGCTTTCTGCTCTGCATATTAGAGCCCCAGGAAGTGTGAGGGAGGACACACCCTATGTATAGGGCATGCGCTCTCTGGCTACTAACCAACTTCACCACTGCAGGAGGGGGTGGCTCCAGGAGATGAAGTATACATCAGGAAGTTAAAACCTCACAAGCTGTAATCCCAGCTTTGGCACTAAATCCATCCTCTTCAGAATGATTAACGTAGTTATTATTAACAGGTTATTCCCCAGTTCTAACCCCTTCAGTGGCTGCCTTCAGCACTGAGTCCAAATACCTTAACACGGACTACAGGATTCACCATGCCCTGGCTCCTACTCATCTCTCTACCTTGTCTTGCACCTTTTTCTGCTCCAGCGAGCAAACTGCTTCTACTGCCCCCGTCACGCTTTGCCTTGGCTCGTGCTGTCCTCTCTGCCTGGAAGAGTGTCCTCTCCCCTCCATCCATTCATTTATTTAATAGACATTTATTGAGTCCCACCAGCACTCTGATAATCCCTGCAGGATACAGTTCCTTCCACTCTCTACCCCTCAACCTTCTCTCGTTCTGCTCATTCTTCTTTATCTTTAAGATCTTTATCTTTATAAAGAACTCAAGCATAGTCTCTTCCAAAAAATCTTACCTGACAGCGCACACCCCACAAAGTTACACCTCCTCTATGCTCAGGTGATACTTTAGATGTATCTCTCTCTTCCACTCCATCCATTCATTCACCGATTGTGTACTGAACACCTGAAATTGGCTGGGCACTGTTCTTGGTGCTGGGGATGCAGCAGTAAACCTAGGAGACAGAAATCCCCACCCTCACAAGACCAGTGGGAGGAGACAGACAGCAGGCAAGATAAATAAGTAAAATCTATGGTATGGCAGTGGTAAGTGGTAAGAAGAAAAATAAAGCTGGCCACACTATCTAAAGGGCTTCCACTTTAGATAGTGTGGCCAGGAAAGGCAGTGAGCAGGTGACATTACAGGAAGGACCTGAAGGGAGTAGGGAGTAGGGAGTGAGCCACTCCTAGATCTCGATGAGGAACATTGCAAGTAGAGGAGACCGCAAGCACAAAGGCCCTGATGCAGGAGAATGCCAGGTGTGCTGGAGGAGCTGTGAGAAGGCCATGCTAGGAGCAGAGGGGGTGCAGCAGAAGCAGCAGGAGATGAGGTCAGAGATGGAGAAAGAGGCCGATTACATCCTCAGGGCCCTGTAGGGCACTGCGATATCTGCCTCTTAGTCTCTGATGGGAAGTCTTTGGAGAGTTCTGAGTAAGGCTGGCATGATCTGACTTACATTTTAAGGAGACCACCCTGGCTTCTGTGCTAATCATAGATAGGAAGGAGAGAGGGGCAAGGGTGGAAGCAGGGAGACCAGTCAAGAGACCAGGGCAGTGACCCACACAAGCAATGATGACGGCTGGCCCAGGCTGGAGTGATGGAGATGGTAAGACAGGTTCAGATTTTGGATACACCTCAGAGGTAGAGGCAGTGGAGTCTGCCAGCATAGCAAATGCGGGTCAAGAAAGGAATCAAGGGCGACTTGGGATTTTTACCCTGAGCAACAGGAAAATTGGGAAAATGGAATTAACACATACTGAGATGGGGAAGACCGTAAGGACAGGTTTGTCGTAGGACCATCGGGAGCTCAGTTTTAGATCTGTTCTTACTACACTGTATTATAATTTCCTGTTTAAATGTCTGTCTCTTTCCCCCAGATCAAGGGCGACTTGGGATTTTTACCCTGAGCAACAGGAAAATTGGGAAAATGGAATTAACACGTACTGAGATGGGGAAGACCGTAAGGACAGGTTTGTCATAGGACCATCAGGAGCTCAGTTTTAGATCTGTTCTTACTACACTGTATTATAATTTCCTGTTTAAATGTCTGTCTCTTTCCCCCAGGCCATGAGTTCCTTGGGGACAGAAACTTTGACTCATCTCTGTTTGCCCAGCATCAGGAACAGTGCCTAGCCCATACCAGGTTGATAAATATTGGATTGATGAATGGATGCAGATGAATGAAAGAAAATGAATGGACTGGAGAGGTCAGGAAAGAGAAAGAAGATGTAGTGAGGAAAGAACTAGTGAAGGATTCTCGTGTCTTAGCTTGTCTTGGGCACGTTTCTTTACCTCTGAGCCTCACTTGCCCTTCCTGTAACATTATTATTGTCCTGCTTCCCTCTTAGAGTGGTGATGGGGATCTGTTGAGACTGGGGACTGTATTAGTCCATTTTTGTTGCTTATAACAAAATACGTGAGCTGAGTGATTTATAAGAAAATAAAATTTATTGCTTACAGTTTTTGGACACTGGGAAGTCCAAAGTCCAAGGAACACATCTGGTGAGGGTTTTGGTAGTAGTGACAGTGATCTTGGGGTCTCACATGGCAGAAAATGGCAGAGGAGAGTGTGCTCTTCTTTTAAAGCCTCCACCACCATGCCCCTGACCACCATTATTAACCTGTTCACTGGCACGGTCCTGCAATCTAATCACCTATTCTAGGCCCCACCTTTCAATTACCATAATAAGGATTCCCATCTCAACAGTTACAGTGGAGATTAAGCTTCAGTGAGGTTGCAGGGAGCATCCAATCTACAGCAAGGACTTGAAAGCATTTTAACATTGGAGAGGATGTGGAGAAAGGAGAACCCCCCTACACTGTTGGTGGGACTGGTAAATTAGTGCAGCCGTTATGGAAAATGGTATGGAGGTTTCTTAAACAACTACAGATAGAACTGCCATATGACCTAGCCATCCCATTGCTGGGTATATACCCAAAGGAATGGAAGTCATCATGCTGAAGGAATACCTGCCCTCCCATGTTTATTGCAACTCTATTTACAATAGCCAAGAGTTGGAATCAACCTAAACGTCTATTGACAGACAACTGGAAAGGAGGGGAAAATGTGGTACACATATACAATGGAATACTTCTCAGCCATGAAAAAGAATGAAATTCTGCCATTCTCAGCAACATTGATGAACTTAGAGAAAATCATGTTAAGTGAAATAAGCCGGGCACAGAAAGAGAAATACCACATGTCCTCACTCAAAAGTGGGGGTGGGGGGGAAGGGAGGGAGAGAGAGAGAAAGAAGAAAAGAAAGAATCACAATAATACATTAAACTTTCAAAAAAGAGAGAACAGAACTGTGATTATTACAGGTGAGAAAGGGGGAGTGGGAGGGGTGTTGGCGAAAAACTAGTTAAAGGTCACAGAGATTAATTATGTTTTGTAAACATGAGTGTACTAATTATCCAGATTTGCTCACCACATATTGTGCATGTGTATTGATATTCGATTCTGTACCCCACAAATATATATGATCAATAAAAAAATAAATAAAAAAGAAGTAGAAACCACCAGAAAAACTAGAGGGAAGAGAAAAAAAAGAAAGCATTGAAAAACCATAGCAACGTAGAATAATATTGCTCCCTTATGTTAACATGCCACTTCATCTCTTCTTGCTTCTCATCTCCATCTATGGAACAAACCAAACATGACATGCAAGAAGAGAAGATGTACTACACAGGTACCTTCCTCTAGAACAGGGAGGAAATCTCCATACTCAGAACACATGGTGGTGGTCAGGAAAGCAGCCCCCCCGCCAAGCCAAGCTGGAAACCCCAACGCTGCCTCACTGCACTTATGACCTGTTGCACATGCTGGAACCCGTGCCTTCGGGAGCTCCACCCATTGCCTGCTGGTTTCCTTGCCTTCTCTTTTGCTCTGAAAATGATAACACAAAAAAAAATTATTTGAATTAGTAGAACTGTGCATGAGAATTTATTTGGCCTCTTCAACTCTGTGGATTTATTTTCCCTCTCACAGTATCCCTTTTTAAAAAATATTTCTAATTACTACAGTAAAAGAGTGAAGTTCTAACTACATGGAAATCCATAATTATCAAACTGGGAAGCCTTTCATGATACCAATAAGCCAGGCACGGAAAGAGAAATATCACATATCCTCATTCATGAGTGGGAGTGAAACGAAGGAAGGAAGGATCACAATAATACATTAAACTTTCAAAAAAAAAGAGAGAGAACAGAACTGTGGTTATTAGAGGTGGGAAAGGGGGAGCTGGAGGTTATGGGGAAATTTAACACAATATACACGGCTTAATATGGTTAGGGACTTTTGTTTGTGCTAATTCCCCTTTTAAAAAAGAACTATACAGTATATTTGTTGTGTGTGTGTGCACCTAATAAAGTATAGACCATAATTTTACTGATGTTTCTCTCAGGATAATATGATTGAGAAAGATGTTTACTGTCTTCTTTTGACTTACCTATTTTTCCTGGGTTTTCGAAAGTGAATATGTATTACTTATGAAAGGGAGATTGATATTTTAAATAGAGAATAAAAAATTATATCGTTTTAGGCAGACATTATTCATATGTTATACTATGCATTTAATGAATGTGGATTTTGTTTTTTCTTTGTTGGTTATTTAGTTTTAACCAAGATTGACAACTACACTCTGCATGAAAGGGAGATTGATATTTTAAATAGAGAATAAAAAATTATATCGTTTTAGGCAGACATTGTTCATATGTTATACTATGCATTTAATGAATGTGGATTTTGTTTTTTCTTTGTTGGTTATTTAGTTTTAACCAAGATTGACAACTACACTCTGCTGGATTATTCCCTAATCAGTTCTCCAGAAATTACTGAGAACTACCTTGACCTGAATTTGAAGGTAACTTTGTCATCATCAGAATTCTCATCCTGGCTGTCAACCACCAATATTTGCAGACCAAAATGATGTGCAGAAGGAAATGTACATATGTGCTCTTTAAATAATTTAATTTTCTTTCAAGTAACTACCTCATGTTTATTGCTTTTCAAAAGACTCTTGAACATTTTCTTGATGGGTAAATGATTGTTTGCACTGCACAACATATGTGTGCCTTCCTCAAAAGAATTATCGGGATGTCTTTGCTTCTGGGAGTATGTTTGAGGCTGGGAGCCAGCAAGTAGAGTGATCTGCATTTATTAGAATTTAACACATCAGTAGATTGTACATGTTGGTACTTCTGTTCCTAACTGTCAGGTTAGTGCATTTAACTGAGGGCTGCTGACCTCGGTCAAGGCCATAAGCACATGGTAATGGTGTTTGCTGATCCTGGAAAAGCAGTCACTATTCTTATGTTCAGTTTTGCCCCAGAGTTAGTATCACTGTCTTTTTAAATGCATATTGGCTTATATTTTACTCACTCAGAGTCTTTCAAACCAGCTCAGTGTTGTACAAGACAACATTTTGTAATAACGCCCTGTAGCTAATGAGAGCAGCATTAGGAGTGCCGTAAAAATACTTTAAACTATTTGGAGTATTGGGTCCTTCTGAGTCTTTCTATGACTCCCCAGGTACTCAGCAGTCACAGATTTGAAGGTCATGAATTCGACACCTTAAATGGGACTTCAGGGACTATTCAGAGATGTCCCCTCTGGCTAAATGAACTTCTTTCCTTTGCTGAGAAAAGTGCCAGCAAGGAGCTTCCCGCTGGGTTACACCCCAGGCTGGACAAACAACCCTACTATGCCTAAGAATCATCAGAGCTTGAATCATAGTCACTGGTTAAGGAGGCAGAAGGGCTTATTTTTTATTCCTGCTACTGAGTTTCTGGAATTTTCCTTATTCTGCCTTAAGAGGTTCCACCTTCTCAGTCCTGCACATTTTGATTTTCACCTGATCTGCTGGTCTTTCTCTCTGTTTTCCCACAGGGTGTATTCTACCCACTGGAGAACCTCACTGACCCTCCCTTCCCACCAGCTCTTTTTGTGCTCCCAGAACGCAGTGACTCTATGCTCTACATTGGAATCTCCGAGTATTTCTTTAAATCTGCATCCTTTGCTTATTTCACAGCGGGGGCTTTCAATGTCACTCTCTCCACCAAAGAGGTAAGGAAAGTTAATAGATGATGACAACTGGCACCATCATTGAACTTTTTTATAAGTACATCTGACCTGCGAACAACACGGGTGTGAACTACATGGGTCCACTTATACAAATTTTTTTCAACCAACTGTGGATAGAAAATACAGTATCGTGGATGCAGAACTCATGTGTACTGAGAGCCAACTTTTCATATACACAGATTCCACAGCACTTACTGTGGGACTTGAGCATCCTCAGGTTTGGGTATACATGAGGGTCCTGGAACTTACCCCCTGCAGGTACCAAGGGACGACTGTATTCTATTATGGGATTTTTATGTCATAGTTTCAATTTCTGGGCCTTCTTAGTCTATCACTCCTAGCAGGACCATGAATGAAGGAATTGTGGAATGAATGCTGTTATTAGTTGGGGAGTTGTTGGGTTTTTAGTTCTTCTAATTTCAATCTTTTCATGATATCTGTCCACTGTTCTAGATTGATCTTAAAGAAGGCCAAGACCCCCTACATTACTTACTACCTGTGACCTTCAGTAATTTCAATTTATTTAACTTCCATGTGCCAGTGTTTTCCCATTAAGAAAAAGGGACCAATAACAGTTCCATACCCATAGGGTTGATACAGGCATTAAAAGGTTTAAATACACATAAAACATTCAGACCCGTGCCTGGCACAGAATAAGAGCTGAATACCTGTCACTTATTATCAGCACCTTTATTATTCCTCGTGCTATGGCAACATAAAGATTTCTCCTGATGGTAATTTACTCCTGATTTGTCTGCAATGATCAGTAACAGTACAGATACTCATTGATTGTCTTTGTCATACACCTGCCTTTTATAATGAGAACACTCCAGCCAGTCAACCAAAAACTTTTATTGAGCATCCTTTTTGAATCTTCTTATTCTATACATCGTACTTATGCAAGTAGTTATAAATCTTACGTTCAAAATGTTAAGTGTGGCAGTGCTGAGAATTAGACACTCCTGGCTTCAGACTTGAAATCCACTAATCTAGGAAGGTAAATTACTTAAGCATCCTATGTCTAAGTAAGCTCTGAAAATGAGGACAAAAACGCAAGACTTATTGTAAATGACTGTAGAATCGTTTACACATGAATTGTGCACATAATATATACCATGTCCCCAAGGTTGAAAGACACTTACACAAAAGGAATACAATTTCTGTGTGACCTTGAGTGAGTCACTTTACTTCTCAGGGCCTCAGATTCCCTATGGTTGGGCTATAAAATGATAGGTCACCTTCAAACTCTAAACATGTTACAGTACAACAGCTACATAACTCATAAAATTATAGGGAAAACTATCTTTTCCCTGAAAAGATAATACAAATAAAAACCTTGCTGTGACATGAGGGTCTTTATTTTCCAGATTTCCAATCATCTTGTTCAAAATTCTCAAGGCCTTGGCAATGTGCTCTCCCGGGTGAGTACTTGGGACTTGACTCCTTGACAGTGTATTTGGTTTCACTGCAATTAATTATGGATGACTTGTGGGTTCTTTATATTACTTTTTGGTCCAAGCCTGAATACATCTTTCCGTTCACAAGAGTTCTTTTCTCTTAATCAAATATCCACAAATATTTACTGAACAGTACACATTAAAGTACAAATAGAGGCATTGTAAGTTCACAAAAATAAATCATCTGTTTCTTCCACTTGGTTCTGCCAAATTTGAAATAATTAGCTTCAGCAAAGGATTTATTAACTTAAATGAAAAATTTAATTCTTAAATGAAGAATCAGTGCCCACACTTGTGACGTTAGTAAAGCAGTTATTAATATCATGCCTTTATAACACACTAAACATTGGACATCATATAACAGGCTGAGGTTTGCCGTTGAGAACAAAGCGATGTTCATGTAGCATTCTGGTTTTAGAGCAAGGATTTCAAGTCAGACAGACCTAGATTTGAATCCCAGTACTACAACTTATTCTCCTATAACTTTGAGAAAATCACTTAACCTCTCTAAGGCCCATGTTCTTCATTATAAAGAGGGATACTGGGGCCGGCCCGGTGGCACACTGCTACAGTGCGCCGCTTGGGAAGCGCGGCAGCGCTCCGGCCGAGGGTTCGGATCCCACATACAGACCGGCTGCTCACTGGCTGAGCAAGGAGCGGGGGCAACACCGAGGGTTGCGATCCCGTTGCCGGTCACGGTCCAGTACGGGCGCGACACTGAGGGTTGCGATCCATTGCCGGGCACGAAAAAAGACAAAAAGACAAAAAAAA